GTTGAGTTCAGATTGCAGCCGGCTCCTCGTAAACCGGAAGCAGGTTCTAGATAGATGGGTTGAACACTTTGAAGGCGTTCTGAACAGACCATCCGTTATAAACAATGAGGCCATTGACCGCCTACCTCAAATAGATATCAATGAGAATCTCGCGCGTCCTATAACGGAAGAGGAAGTGAAAGGAGCAATCCACCGCACGTCAAGCGGGAAAGCTCCAGGATCGTACGGTATTCCGACAGAAGTGTTTAAATGCGGGGGACACGCTCTCATTCGGGAATTGACTGAACTATTCCAGAGTATATGGGACACGGAGCAAATCCCTCAGCGACTGAAGAATGCCAGCATCGTCCGCATCTATAAAGGTAAAGGTAGTCGTCACGCATGCGACAATTACCGAGGCATCTCCTTGCTATGTATTGCCGAGAAAATAATGGCACGCGTGTTGTTGTACCGTCTGCAGCAGCATCTTGAGAGAGGTCTTCTCCCTGAAAGTCAGTGTGGCTTTCGTGCTGGACGTGGAACTTCCGATATGATATTTACTGCTCGGCAGATACAAGAGAAATGCCAGGAGCAACACCGCGACTTATACATGACTTTCCTGGACCTGACGAAAGCTTTCGACACGGTATGTAGAGAAGGGCTTTGGCGCATAATGCACAAGTTCGGTTGTCCCACGAAGTTCGTCGCTGTAGTTCGTCAGTTCCATGAAGGTATGATGGCAAGAGTGCTCGGTGACGGAGAAGAATCCATAGTTTCCTGTGTCCGGTGGCGTCAAGCAGGATTGCGGGTTGGCACCAACACTGTTTAGTATGTATTTATCAGCATTGCTGTCAGACGCCTTCAGGGATGGTCCGAGCGGAATACACCTGCGATATCGAATGGATGTAAAGCTGTTCAATCTTCGCCGTTTGCAAGCGCGCACAAAAGTTCGTTTGACTAGTATCAGAGACCTGTTGTTTTCTGATGATTGTGTGCTGAGTGCGACTTCGGCAGAAACGATGCAACAGGAGCTCGACTGCTTCGCAAGGGGATGTGGCGATTTCGGTCTTACAATTAACACCTCCAAGACGAAGGTTGTGCTTCAGCCCGCTCCTTGTAGATCTCTAGTTGATCCAGAATTATCCA